AAACTCTGATGCTGCTTGGCCTGCTGTGTTCATCCAGCTCTACACCTTGTTATTTCAGATTCTCCAGCATCTGCAGTTCCTACTATCTGAGTTTTTCTAGCCTCTGCTTTGAGCTCATACCCTCTAATCCAGGCAGCTTCCTCGTAAACCTCTTCTGCACCCTCTCCAAAGCAAAGATCTTTCATCCTACTTCAAATAAGGACAAATTATCTCCTGTAAACCTTCTGCACTGAGTTCACAAATTCATACCTTTTAAGCTCTCTGAACAAAAGTGGCCATACTTTTCTAATCCTTCAGAGTTATCGGAGTTATACTGTTTTTCCGCTAACAGGCCTGCGTAGTCAGTAAGACCCAGAATTCTGTAAATGGAGGGAAATGAAATGGCTGAGATCTCCCCTAGCTCCAATTTGGACTCCAGTATGAGGATTGGGCCTCTGTGGGAGGAATATTCTCATTCCATATTAGTTTCATCCTTTGGTGCTGCAGTGCCCCATTCCTCTATGATGTGGAGGTGCCGGTGTTAGACTGGGGTGGACAAGGTCAGAAATCACACGTCACCAGATTATAGTCCTACAGGTTCATTCGAAAACACAAGTTTTCAGAGCCTCACTCCTCCTTCATGTGTTACACCTGAAGAATGAGCAGTGCTCCAAAAGCTTGTGTTTTCAAATAAACCTGTTTAGACTATAACCTGGTGTCGTGTGACTTCTGACCTTGTCCATTCCTCTATGGCAGATTCCCACTTGGTGCTCAAAATCTTGCCAAAAGCCTTACTGGCAGTTCAAGCAACCCCTTCCAACCTGCTCCAATAAAATGGGTTTGAGGTCATGTCAAGGTCAATAATTCTGGCAGATGACCCAACCAGCCACTCCAAAAGAGAAAACTGCAACCTTTTATGGTCATATTGCTCACATTTTATAAATAGTTTTGCATACAGGGCACTGTCAACTAATTGGATAAGGAAGTAATGTTTCTCTTACTTGCAACTGGGTTTCAGGTCAGTGCCAAGGATTGCCTCAGAGCTATTAAGAATTTAAGATTATGTCCTGGTCAATGCTATAAGCAGTTCCTGAAAAAGTATCACAACTGCACTAAAAAAAGACCAACTACTGTGGTTTGAGTTTCATCAATAAGTCAGCAACAAATTGAGCTCAAGTCGGTGTTAGGTTTAGGAAGGGTTTTCTTTCACTCAGGTTTATGTCTAAACTTACTCAGAAGATTTCACATTCACTCGATCAACCAGACTGATTTTTGCATTAAAAACATTCTTTGATATGGTTAACTGGCAATCAGACATAGCTTTAGTGACACACCTGAAAATAAATTTAATACCAAAAGTAAGCACTTTATTAAGGGATTAAAAGAAAACAGCTAGTGCTGGTGAAACACATTTGTGGATAGAAAAACACCGTTAATGTTTCGAATCTAATATGACCATTCTTTGGAACTAAAGAGAGCTAGAAAATGATGGTCATAAAGAGTTATATTGGCCTGAGAATGTTAACTGTTTCTTTCTCCATAGATGCTGTCAGACCTGCTGCATTTCTCCAACACTTTTTGTTCTTATTTCAGATCCCTAGCATCCACAGCAACTGTGCTTTTATTTTATTCTATTCAGAGAGACTTCCATCATGAGTTTAATATCACGAATGACTTTCAAAAATATACAGAATGACTCTAACGAATGTACAGAGAACAATGGTAGTAAACTAGTTTTTAATGTATAATATTTCTAAGCTTTTAAAATGATGTATATTAGCATCCATCTGCCTAAACAGTGTTTAATTTAAAAAGCCTCTGAGGGGCCTTTACATTGGTGCTGTCAGCAGAACCTTGCCATTGTGATTAATTGGAGAGATGGTCACGTTCATGGGTGGGTCCCACCCATGTCTTAGACCAATTGAAATAATCATGGAAAAGCAATTTGCACCAAATGCAACTTGCAATTGAAATTCCACGATCCTTTGCGCTGGCTTGCAGCAATTTGCTTGAAAGAAACCAGCACAACCAGGTAGAAACCCCAGATCAAAGTGTTATTCTTTACATGTTAGAAGTATAATCACACAGAATTCCATTAAGCTGATCGACTTTATGTCGACTCTCTATCAAGCAATCCAATCGGTCTCTATTCTTTGCTCTGTTAGTCTGCAAGTTTATTTCTCTTGAGTGCCTAAAATTTCCTTTTCAAGCTGTTCATTTGTTTATTTGTTATAGGTTTATCAAAATGGTTGAGAAAACAAAGAAGCTATTTGATTATACAAAGCTGTGGGAGGTGGGAGATCATATGATGAAACCTCCAGGAATATGGCCAACTAGAGTTGGCAATCCTAGACCAAAGTGCCAGCTATGCTCTATGCAATGGACAGAAATATCACTTCACCCTCATAAATTTAAAAAGTCCGCCAAAAGACTATTTTCTTCCAAATTTGTGAAGATTATCAGATTGTCCAGCAACAACGTACATACCTATATCATCTTTATTAAAATTAGAAAGTCTAAAAGGAGCAGAACACAAGGGTTACAAAATTTGACACCAAGCCACACATATTTGAACAGATGATGAAAAATTTAGTCAAAGACACAGGTTCTTAAAGAGATTCTTAAAGGATAAGAATATCAGAGCAGCAGATAGGGAGGGAATTCTCGACCTTATGGTCTAGGCTCCTGAAGATACAGTTATCGAATGGCGAAGCAATTAACTTTGGAGGCCAGAATTAGATGAGATATCTCAGACGATTGTGGAGCTGGAGGAGATTACAGAGATATGGGGGGACTGTCCAGGAGAATTTGAAAACAAAGATGAGAATTTTAAAGTTAAGGTGTTGCTTGACTTGGAACCAATACAGTTCAATGAGCACAAGGGTGATAGGCGAACGGGAGTTGATATAAATTAAAACTCATGTTCTGGATGGTCACAAGTTTATAGAGGGTGAAACATGAGAAGCTGTGATTTGGTCAAGACTAGGAGGTGCCAAAAGCATGGATCAGGGTTTCGTAAACAGGCAAGGACACTATCAGGTGCAACTAAGGGGCTGAGCAATGGAACAGATTATATGGCTGGAAGTTCACCTTGGAGTCAGATATTGCTCGGGTGGCAAATAAGCTGGAGAAGCCAGACCAAAATACATCAATATCTTTAATACTGTTCACTAACTCAATATTTAGTATTTTCGAAGTATCTACTCCATCAGCACCTTATTATGCTTTTTTTTTAAAACTTCAAGACAAATATCATGATTTGCCACTAAAGTCAGCGAGGATCAGTGGTTGCACTCTGACCTCCTGGGTGTGACAGCTGTTATGCCTGCAAAATTCAACATACAATGTTAACAGACACTTGGAGAGTGTTTGGTTGCCAGAGGCTTTACAGTTTGCCTGTGCAGGAAAAGGTTTCCCTCATATCATTCTTGAGGATTTTTTTGCCAGTCACTTTAAATCAGTGTCCTCTGGTACTCAACCTTCTCAATGATGGCAGAAGTTTCTCTGTTCTGTCTAGACTCCTCATGATTTTGAACATTTCTATCAAATCAACTTTCAGCCTTCTCTTCTCCAAGGTAAACAACTCCAACTTCTCCAATCCAGCCACTTTGCTGAATGCCCTCATGCCTGAAACCAATTTCACATGCCTTCACATCCTTCCTAAAGTGTGCTGCCCAGAATTGGTCACAATACTCCAAGAGAGGTCAAACCAGATTTGTGTATAGGTTCGTCATAATGTCTTTACTTTTGCAATCTATATATCCCAATTTAAAATACCCAGGATCCCATATACATTTTAAGTAATTTCTCAACTTGCCCTGCCACCTTAAGTGATGTGTGCCCATATAACCCCAGGTCCCTCTGCTGCAGTACCCCTTTTAGATTTGTAACCTTAATTTCATATTCACTTCCCTTGTTCTTCCTACTAAAATCAATCAGTTCACACTTCTCTGCTTGAAATGTTAAGTTTTGAAACATCCCAGGTCAAAGAGATGGGCATACCTTCTGTTTTGAATGCTGGTGATAACTCGGGATGCTCTGTGGAGATGCTGAGGTCATCTGTAAGGGGATAATTCTGCTCCTCACCATGTTCCCAACGTTTCTGCTGTAACTGCTGCAACCAGTACATCATGGCATCTTTATTCTTTGCCTGAAAACAAAATCAATTTTTTTTTTACATAAAGGAATAGATAATTTAATTGCCCAGACTTAGATTTCTCACACCCTAATAAACTGTGTCCTGAAGTGTTTTTATATTTTAAAAGCCCCATAAAATTCAAAGAAATTCTCATAACAATAACTTGTATTTACATACACCTTTTAATGGAGCAAACTGTCGCAAGACACAGCCTCAAAAGGAGCAATCATCAGACAAGTTTTGTCACTGAATCACATTAGGAGATATTAGAACAAGTGACCGTAGGTTTGGTCAAAGACAGAGGCTGTAAGGACCATCTTAAAGGAGGACAGAGAAGCAGTCAGACAGAGAGGTTCAGGTAGGGATTTGCAGAGCTTAGAGCAAAAACAGAAATTGCTGGAAAAACTCAGCAGGTCTGGCAGCATCTGTGAGAAGAAAGCAGAGTTAACGTTTTGAGCCCGGTGAATCCGATGAATGTGAGTAACAGCAGCAATTTCTATTTTGTTTCAGATATTGAACATCAACAGTTCTTTGTTTTATTCAAGAGCTTGGAGCCTGGGCAGCTAAAGGCACTGGCATCAGGGGTAGAACTATGAAAATCAGCAATGCATAAGTGACTAGGATTGAAGAAGAATACAGATCCAAGGATGTGGGTCAGGAGGAGATCAGAGACTTAAAAAGAGGGGACGAGACCACAAAGAGTTTCATATACAAGGCTGAGATTTTAGGAAGGTTCAGAGAAATTAGGAAGGAATTTAAATGCGCAATAGGAAGGCAATAAGGGGCCATGAAATGTCTTTAGAAAACAGAGTCAAGGAGAATCCCACAGCTTTTTATGCATATGTTAGGAGTAAGAGGGTAACAAGGGAAAGAGTAGGCCCACTCAAGGACGAAGGAGGGAAATTATAAATAGAGCCACAGGAAGTGGAGGAGATCCTGAATGAGTACTTTGTATCAGTCTTCACCACGCAAAAGGACATGACTAATGTTGAGGTCAGGGATGAGTGTGTGAGTACTCTAGAAAATGTCAATATATTGAAAAACAACAAGTTTTGGGAATCCCAAATTGCATCAAGATAGACAAGTCCCCAGGACCACATGGGATCTACCCCAGGTTACGCCAAGAAGCAAGGGAGGAATTAGCTGGGGCATTGGTAGATATCCTCACATCCTTGTTGACCACGGGTGAAGTTCCAGAGGATTGGAGATTAGTGAATGTTGTTCCCTTGTTTAAGAAAGGAAGCAGGGATAATCCAGGAAACTATAGGCCAGTGAGCTTGATGTCTGTGGTGGGGAAGCTCTTGGGGAAGATACTGAGGGTCAAGAGATATGCGCATTTCGAGGAAAATAGACTAGTTAGTGACAGGGAGCATGGTTTTGTCCAGGGAAGGTCATGTCTCACCAATCTGATTGAATTTTTTGAAGAGGTAACGATGATAATTGATGAGGGAAGGGCTGTGGATGTAGTTTATATGGACTTTAGTAAGGCATTTAATGAAGCCCCACATGGAAAGTTGGTACAAAAACTAAAATCACATGGGATTCAGGGTGGGCTGGCTAGATGGCTAGAAAACCGGCTTGGTCATAGAAGACAGAGGGTAGTGGTGGAAGGATGTTTTTCAGAATGGAGACCGGTAACTAGTGGTGTTCCACAGGGCTCAATCTTAGGCCTTTTGTTGTTTGTAGTATATATAAATGATCTGGAGGAAAATGTGGGTGGTCTGATAAGCAAATCTGCTGATGACACAAAGATTGATGGAGTTGCTGATAGTGCCGACGATCGATTGTGAAAGTATACAGCAGGATATAGACAGATTGGTGACTTGGGCACAGAAATGGCAGATGGAGTTTAATCCAGACAAATGCGAGGTGATGCATTTTGGAGGATCAAATTTCAGTGTGAATTATACTGTAAATGACAGTACCCTTAGGAACACTAACATTCAGATGGATCTGGGCGTGCAGGTCCACAGTTCCCTGAAAGTGGCAACACAGGTAGCCAAGCTGATTAAGAAGACATATGGCACGCTTGCCTTCATTGGCTGGGGCATGGAGTACAAGCATTGGCAAAACATGTTGCAGCTATATAAAACCCTTGTTAGGCCATATTTGGAGTATTGTGTGCAAGTTTTGGTCACCACACTACCAGAAGGATGTGGAAACTTTGGAGAGAGTACGGAGAAGGTTCACCAGGATGTTGCCTGGTCTCCAGGGCATTGGCTATGAGGAAAGGTTAAAAAGACTAGGATTGTTTTCACTGGAAAGACGGCGGCTGAGAGGTGACCTGACAGAGGTCCACAAAATTATGAGAGGCATAAGTAGAGCGGATAGTCAGAGGCTTTTTCCCAGGGTTGAAGTTTCAATTACAAGGGGGCACTGGTTCAAGGTCAGAGGGGTAAAGTTTAAGGGAGATGTGTGAGGAAAGTTTTTCACGTAGAGTGGTAGCAGCCTGGAATGCACTACCAGAACAGGTGGTAGAAGTGGGCACACTGAAGACATTTAAGAGACACCTAGATGGGTACATGAATAGGGAGGGAATAGAGGGATACAGATCGAAAAATGGCAGGTTTGCTTTTAGATTAATTAGGGCATGATGGTCGGCACAGGCCTGGAGGGGCCGAAGGGCCTGTGCCTGTGCTGTACTTTTTCATTTGTTCATTTTAAATGTGATATGTTGCTGTCTAGGTCCATGAGTGAATGATGGCTGATTGGGATTTGGTTAGCATTGTGTTTTGCTTCCAGTTTTCCTTAGTGCTTTCAATTATGAACACACATGCAGAACTACTCTAAAACCAATAGTATCACACAACTGTGAAAACCAGGCAAGTTAATAAATATTGATGAGATAAAGAGGCCTACTTCCCTTCCTTACTACTGCACCAGGTGAGAATGGTTGCTAAGAACTAGAAGTCTATTATAAATTGCAGAATGGATGAAACAGTAAATTGATGTTCAAATATTACAATCACAAATCAAAGATGTGCTCTTTTAATTCTGTAATCAACGTGCTACTGCGAATTCCAATTCACAGAATTTATATCAAAGGAATAGGCCCCATTCAGCCCAACAGGTCCACATGAATGTATATGCAACACACAAGCCTCTAACCCTACTTCATCTCACAACAGCAGCTTGTCCTCCGATTCCTTTCCACCTCCTGTGTTTGACTGGCATACATGGCCTTCTCCAAACCTTTCAAACCCACTCCAACTACTATATACTCATGTAAAAGTTCTGAGAAAAATATTTTAGCCAAACATAGAGGCTGCCTTATAAACGAGTAATATTTTTGAGTGATTGAAATCTACTGTCTACCATCACCTCACTCGACAACCCTTTACGGCATTATATCAGCTGATTGCAAACTTGCCAGGTCAGAGACTGTTCCAGACAACCTCACCTCCCAAAACTAGAGCAAATAAAGTCAAAAAGTATTTTTGTTAATCCTTGTAGATACAAAATGCCAAACAGCCACCTTCAAGTCAATACATTTTCATTCGACTTCAGGAACAATTTTGGATTTCTTTTGGCCAAATATCAGGAGTCAGCGTTTTACACAAGGTCAACCAAAAAATTTCTACCTCCTTATGACTCTCTAGATAAAGCGGTTTCTCCTAAATTCCCTATTGGATTCATTAGATAATGTTGTTATATTTATGGCCCCTGAATCTGGGTTTCCTCCAAGTGGAAACATTCCGGGTGAAATTATTAAATTGGACCTGGAACGGCACACTGTCTGACAATCCTTTCAATTAAAAATTCTCACCCTCACATTCATTCCACCCAAGATCCCTTTCTTTCCTACACCTGAAGCCAACTCCAGCAATACAACTTAGAATGATACAGGTTATATTGATCAGGAAAACTGAGGGGTTTGGAGGCTTTTTCTCAAGTAAAAAGAATACTGGGGAATGACTTGATAGGGGGCTTGAGAATTATGCAAAGCTTTGATAGGATAGACATAGAGAAAACATTTCCATTTGTGGGTGACACCAAAACTAGAGACCATGAATTTAAATCCAGTAAAGAATGCAGGAGATACATTTTTTCCCCCCAGAGAGTGGGGGAATGTGGAACCGGTTACCACAGTGGGTAGTTGAGAGGAATAGCATTGGTAGATTCATGGAATATAATTTTGGAATTATTATAGCACAGGAGGCCATTTGACCTGTTGTATCTGTACTGGCCCTCTGCATTAGCAACTCAGTCAGTCTCACAAATTCAGCCTGTCCCAGTGGCCCTGCCTTTTCTTTTCCCTTCAATTCCCAGTTTGAAAGCTGTGACTAAATCAACTTCTCAATCTCAAGCAATGCACTCCTGTTCCAAACTTCTCACTGCGTAAAAAGGATTTTCCTCATACCATAATGGGTTCTTTGATCATTCTCCTTAAATTGGCATCCATTGGTTCTCAATCCTTCTGCAAATTGGAGCCATTTAACCCTATTGACCATGTCTGGGTCTCTGATGATTTTGTGCAAATCTCCTTTCAACTTTCTCTTCTTTAATAGGAGAACAGCCACAGCTCCTTCAATCTATACAACATAACTAAAGACTTTCAGTCATTGTTACAAGCCTTTTCTGGGGAAGCCAGATAAGTACCTGAGGTAAAAGAACCAAAGAGTATGTTATCATAAAATCATAGAATCCCTACAGTGTGGAAACAGGCGCTCCGGCCCAACACGTCCACACCGACCCTCAGAGCATCCTACCCAGACCCATCCCCCTGTAACCCACCTAATCTACACATCCCTGAACACTACAGGCAATTTAGCGTGGCCAATCCACCTAGCCTGCACATCTTTGGACTGTGGGAGGAAACCGGAGCACCCGGAGGAAACCTATACAGACACGGGGAGAATGTGCAATATCCACACAGTCGCCCGAGGGTGGAATTGAACCCAGGTCCCTGGCGCTGTGAGGCAGCAGTGCTAACCACTGAGCCACTGTGCCGCCCCACGTTGATGGGGCAAAATGAAAGGGGTGGGAGGAGGTATGTATGGAGCAGAAACGCT